ATTTAGGCAGATCTACTTTTGTGTTTTTTAACTAGTTTTTAACTCTCTAGCAAAGCAAGAGAGAGCTTCAGCTGTTACCAGACTCATATGATGTCAGTTCGAGGAAAACATGCAGAGAAACCAAACTACCAGAAATCTATGTTTCCTCCAGATATAAATATTTATATTTAAAATGGCCACCATGCAAAAACAAAGTGTGTGATGCGAACAGAAACTAAGCTGAAAAGCCCAGAAGCATTCAGTTTCACGTGCAAATGTCAGTTATTGTAATGATTTTAGACTTTTTTTAGACTTTTATAGCAGGGAAGAGATAGCAGATATACTTTAATTTTTACTGATGATGATGAAATGCTAAAGTGAATGGTTTCTATAGATGCTGCAAAATCCACTCATTTGTTCCTGTTGATGTTTTTAACCTTAAGCAAACAATAAATGTATTGTATCCTGCATACTGAACTAAAGTCTTAATAACAGAATTTATTCCTGGTAAATTAGACTGTATTGAAAATGTAATCGGGATTAGTGGTATTGAAATGCTAGGAATTCAATTCCTTTCCAGTCTTTCTGAGGAACTTGTTCTCAAGCATTAGAAACAGCACTAAGATATTAAGGAAGGACTTAAAAGTGCTGCAAGATTGAATTAAAATTAGCGGTTTTCTCCCTCTTGGACAAAAAGCCTCAAAATGCTGCTGACAAGCACTCTGCAGTTACCAGTGTCAAAAGTTAGTCATTTTCATTTAATGACTCATGTATGTCAACTGTTTGCTGTATTGTGCTGAAGGACTTCCTGTGCAGACGTGAGCTGGCTCTGTTACGCTGATTGACCTAGCGATAATTAGTGAAATTATCCTGACGGAGGAGCAGTTTGGTTTGCTACTCTCAGAATCATCTGCAGGAATGCCAACCAAGACTGCTAGCATTTGTTTTCCTATGTATATGTTTGTGTATGTAGCATTGCTTTAATTTCTACTTTTTCTGTCCTTTTTCCAATGCCTTTCTTTAAGTCGTGGTAGGATCTTCACTTTCTCCTTGGGTAGCTACCAGGGTTGAACAGCAGTTCTCAAATTTTCTCATCTGATGTTCCTGTTTCCTTCCTGACTGGAGGCAGAGAGGGTCCAAGTTATCAAAATGCAACCCTTGTTCTTCTCAGTGTCTGCAGCTTGAGGCTGGGAGCCCTCCAGAGATTCCTGTAAATACCATGGGAAGTCACATGGACAGCCAAATTCTCACATGCACTTAGTACATTGTACATGAGACCTATTGTTAACTACAAATCTGACCCAGAGTGGTGGCCAATACCCATGAGTGCTTCAGTTTTGACATAAGATAACTGTGTACAAACTGTTTCCTGCTCTCTAATTCTTTTCTGTGGTCCAGTTTTATACATGGCTGAAATACTTCAGTAACATGAACACTTTTTTTGGTGTTTGTTCCCAGAAGTGCAGTAGTCACTATGAAAAGCATGAGAGCTCACCTTGAAAAGATTTTCAAGTCTGTTTTATCCTTTGCATGACCTACATGATGAAGGAGGAAAAAGAGTAAATGGTAGTATTCTAAGAACTCAATTTTTTTCCCCAAACATGTTGGGTTTTTTGTTGGTGGGTTTGTTGTTTGTTGTTTTTTTTTTTTTTTTCAATCAAGGTAAACAGTTTATGTATTGCTTCTCAAGTTTTTGAGGCAAATACAAAACAGGAAGCCTATTGTTGTTAAGAATTAGTCCATTCAATTTAGACTTCTGGACTTTGGAGCATAATTTCTAGCATGTATAATACCACAGTGAAATATTGCTGGTTCCTCAGAAGAAAGCATATAGTTTGCCATAGGCTGCATCTCCTTTTAGGACTATTTTCTTCTCTGTCATCTATCAATGCAGTCTGCATGCCAAAAAAAGAAAAAAAAGTGGTGCTTCCAGCAAGCCGAAAACCAGTAAGCAGAACTTCCCTTGTCATCTAGCCTTCCCAACCACAAAACTAACTTTTTTGGAGAAGACTACCTCTGACATAGAAAGGAGAAATGCTCTGCTGGTGAGCGAATGTCTGCTGAGATGCCTCACCACAGCTCTACGGGGATGTGATGGGAGCATTTTGGAAGTTTGTGAGGAGAAGATTTCATGCCGATCAGGAACAGCTTCGATCATGGCTTTGCAGTGTTGGAAGAGGAAAGTGTTAAGGTGGGGAAGGTATCCCTTCCCCAGTGAAAAAGCAGGGGAAGCCCAGACCTGCTGCACATTTGTGTGTGTGCATGCATGTGCAGCACAAGCTTGCATCAAACTAGAAATGTTTTCCTGTCCTTCACTCTGCCTGCAGTGGTTCCTGCCAACTCTTCTCTCTGTTTTCCTCACCATTATCAGCCCTGGCACTTGGTGCTTTTCCTCATGGGTGGGTTCAGATATAGCTGCAAATTTTTTTGGAGGGGGGGCATTTTCCCTTCCATCCCCTTCTGTCATTGGATGGAAACAGCTGAGGCTTATAAAAGTCTCCTCTCTGAGTAGTAAAATTAAAAAGTCTGTGATTGGACTCTCATCAATTCTGCTGGGGTTAACTTCTACAGGTGCTTGTATTACATGAACAAGATAACAATCTTGTGGTGAGCTAGTGAAAACAGTGGAGAGGAAGTAACTGTTTTATAGTTCCTAGGTCAAAGTCACGTAACATTGAGGCAATAGCAGTGTGATTTTAAAGCCATGAAGAAAACCTGATCTGACTGCCACAATTCTAGCTGAACTGTCCACAGTACTGTGTTTCAGTGACACTTCCCTCTTCACCAAGAAAAAAAGCATACTTTGGCTTAATGTTAAAAATCACTCTGCCAGTTGCATGAGCGGTTCTCTTTTTGGTTTAAATTGGTGTCAGACACTGGGGGGGCTGTATGTCAAGCTATTTAAGCTGACGTGTAGTGTCTAACACTGTGCTAATGCTGTCTTTGGTTGTCCTGTGTTGCCTTCCTCTCGTAAGCACTTGTGCTTAAGCCCAGATGTAGGTTTTGTTTTGTTTTGTTTTGTTTTTTTCTGGATCGGCCTCTCTGTGTGGCAGTCCCCTATCTTTTCCCTTTCCCAATACAACTTTTGGTTCTGTTGTCTGGTTTGGGGCTGATCCATAGCACTGCCTTCACAAAGCGAGGGCTGGCAAGAGTTGTACCGGGCCTTCCTCTCCCACCTGTGCTGGGGCAGCCAAGATGGCCAGAATCCATCCTGCTGGTATGCAGTTGTTGCAGGATTTTTCTCGTTAATCAAGTCCTTGAGCCTGGAAAGATTCTGAATGTCTTCAACTCCTCTTGAGTCAGTGGGAGTTCATAGCACCCAGGTTGTTTGTTTTTTGTTTGTTTGAAAAATTAGACATTCTGGAAGTAGAGGCATATAAAATGTTTGTGATTTTACTTCACAAAGCTCTTCAGAAAAGGGCACAGAACATACTATAAATGAAGTATTCAGAAGGGAAAACAAAAATTTCCTGACTTATTCTTGGCACTTGTATTTCATCATGACATTTGGTCTCAGAAAATGTACAAACTCTCAACGTTGCCAATTTATTTTACCCACAAACCAACAGCAGACTGATGATGTGCACACAAAGGTTATTTATTTTGAGCATAGCAAGGGAATGTGAGTGTTCCAAATGCTTCCTTATATCTCCCCATGGGATCTGCTTAATATGTTGCATAATATTTTTCTGTATCTAAGATAGGCGTAGTAGGTCTCTTAGTTACTTAAATACACTAGTTGTGTTTCCTCTTTTCTTCTTTGAAGGAAATGTGAGTGGAGAATGAGTAGTTTGTGAACAGTGTTAAATTGAAAAGTGTAACTTCAAAGGCATTTATAGCAGTTTACTCTGAAGCTATCAGCCAATAGATGATGTTCCAAGCAAAATAACTGATTATGTGAGAGGTTAGGCAAGCATCAATCTAGTTGTTGATTGCTTGGACTGGTAGATAATTCCTTAATTGCAAGAAAAAGAAGATAGGATTTGCATCTCTGGCCTTGAGTTCAGGTAGACCCTCTTCTGAGGGCAAGTTTAAACATAACCTATAATAATTTCCCTAATACAAAAACTACTGGAGTATTTTCTTTGGATGACTTTGGCTGACTCTAAACGCTCTCCATTAGAGATAGAGAGCAAGGTTAAAAAAGGATAAGGGAGTGCCACAAGGAACGTATTTTAGTTCTTGCAAATTTGTATTTCTTTAGAATAGCTTTGCTCTTACAAATTGTGAGAGTATTTGTCTGGAATATGAGGCACAGTTTGACAGTGATCATATTACTAGGGAAAGCCAGTGGAGTTTAGTGGGCCAAATGAATATATCATTAACTTCATATCATGAGCACATGACAAGATATGACTGCAATCACGTAACTTCAGCATTTACTATGTGGACATAACATTTCTTTCCATTTGCTAGAGTACCAAACTCTTTCTCATTTTGGCAAGAATTGTAAAAAGGGAGTTGTCTGAAGTTACTTTGTTCCATTTCTGGTGTAACTTGTGATAATGTTTCTGCTAAGTTTGTTGTGTACATTTGCTTGTGGCAATTGATTGGGCCAATTCTAAATTTATTGGCTAAGCTGCACTCTTGCTCCTAGCTTGTGCAACAGGAGAAAATTCCCTAACATTGACTTTTGGCTGCAGGTTTTGAAGCATTCTTAAGACCAAAACATGTACTTGTTGTGACTTAAATTTTGATTAGGAAAAGCACCTCAGTATTCTTAATCTGTTACCTAGCATTCGTTCCTGAGTGCTAGTTGTTGGGCTGTGTGTGAAGCTGATTGATATTTGAAGCAGTGGTCTTGCACGTATATAAGTCTCACAAGTCATCATGAAGTACATGTGACAGCACAAGTAGGTTTCTTTGTAGCACCTTAAATGCCCCTCCTAAACTTCTGTGTTTGGCTGGTTGTCCAACAGTCATTTGCTGTGGTTTTTATATTCATAATGAATATGCAGTTTATGGGTTTAGTTCTCCCAGGCAGAACATGCTTTAACATAACTTGTGTTTGTCTTTTTTAGGAATAACATGCTTGGAATTACTTGCTAGTGTTGGTTACCTGCACCCTAGCACAAGAGCTCCAGCTTGATTCTTTTCAGTGCTTCTGTCAGAACATGGGGGAAAACGATGATGAAAAATACAATCAAGCTGGCCAGATATTTGAAAACTTTGTCCAAGCAACAACATGCAAAGGTACCATTCAGGCCTTTAATATTCTCACACGCCAACTTGAATTAGATCCTTTGGACTGTAAGAACTTTTACAGCAAACTGAAGTCCAGAGTAACCACGTGGAAGGCCAAAGCTTTGTGGAACAAGCTTGATAAAAGAGCAAGTCACAAAGAGTACAAACGTGGAAAATCTTGTATGAACACTAAGGTAAGTGGGAAAGGTCATTTTTGAATTCCACAATTTAGAATCTCTTAAACTGAATTATCAGCAGAAGCAAGGTTTCTGCCATCCCATGCCGCATGTGTATCCATGAACGTTCCCTTTCATATACTTGAAACTGTGTCTGGCGTTGCATGATTTAGACAGATTTTCAGGTATTTTTGTTCTGGAAAGACAGCACATAAGAGCAGTTCTAAAAACACCCTCTTTTATAGTCTGTCTCAGGCACAGCAGGAAAGTTTTCTGTTGATAGTAGTGTTGATCAGCCCTAGGATATAAGCTCATAAGGGAGATTTACTAATCTCAGGCTTTTAAGAACTACTTGCTTAATTAAACAGAGTTTTGCAACGTCAGTTATTACATACTCAGCAGGAGCCTCCTAAAGTGCTGCTTGAACTTAGGGATCGGTCTTTGTCATCTAGCATTGGTTCTATTTGCTAAACAAAAGTAAAAGAAAATAAAGCACTATTTAAGAAATCAAATATTTGCATTTAAATGCTGCTCTTTGTCTCTCCAAAGAGTATATAGATAACTGCTACACAGCTCTTATTAAAGAAAGTGGTCTACTTGATTGTGAAAAGGACAGGAAATTATCTTCAGCACATTGTTCAAATGCTGTGGTTTAATAGAACCACTGCTATAAGTAATGTTAAAACTGAAGGTTCATGCCATCTTATTCCATCTCTTCTGTGACTGGTCATTTTTAATAGCTTTATGTCAGAGAAGTTCAGATATTTACTGCCTAACGATAGCTAAACTTTGCCAATGAAGGTCTGGTTTTAAGAAGCTGCTTGACTGTACTATTGTAAAACAGAAAGGAATAGCACTTTGGGGTGTACCTAGACACTGAACTGCGGAGGGCATTTTAGTTCGAACTATTGCTAAAGTATTTTATGGAAGTGCTAGACAGGCAGTGCTGATGGTCTCTCTTGTGCATCATAGAACTGAGTCTTCCAAAAGCATTAGGGAGAAGGATATCATATTGCCTTCAATACATTTAGAGGCCTCTTTTTATAAATTTCATTTCTAATAAGCTCCCAATTATTATTAACTTTTTGTAAGGTAATAAGTATCCTTAGGACCAATTTCTTTAGAAGAGGAATTATGTCATTATGGCTTTTTGCACTGCTTTCCTGACTGCATCTGTTTTTCTTCTTTCCTTTTTCCAATCTTTTCCCTTTGTGACCTCTGCTTCCTCCCTCTTTTTGATCTTTTGAAAAGGCTTTGAGTATGTCATTGTGCATCTGTGTGATAAAAACAGACAGGAAAGGGAAGGAATGACAATGTGTGTGATGTTTAACAAGTTGTGGGAGATGTTCTACGTACACCTCACTTGCACATACAGTCCCAAGTCCAAATTTCCATGGTTAGTTTGAGGAGGTATTTACAACACAAAATAGTTTTAAGACTCATGTGAACTATGAAGTGAAGCCCTGCACAGTCAAGTGTGATATTACAAAGCCAAGGCCTGCTTCTGCAAAGTCCTTCAGCCAAGTCATTAATTTCTATACATGGTGTAGAGTCGTGGAAATCTGTTAGAACATGAAAAGCTTAATACAGTCTGCATTTCAAGGTTGCCAAGCAAGTGGCTAATCAGCACTTCTTGCAGTGTTGAGAGTATGGTGTTCCTACTCTGAGGGTAAAGGTTTATTTGTAGTGGCATGGTGTAAATATTTGCAGAAATTGAAGGACATAAGCTGCACATATGATCAACTTGCAAATGAATGTAGAATGCCTGTGTATGAACAGGACACATACAAATATTCTGCGCGATACTTGGATGTTCATTATGAATCCAAACCATGCCTGGACCTGCATTTCAATGTGTCATCACTGATTTAACGAGAGAAACATGAATCTTCAGATTACTGCAAATGAGAGCAGTGACCACAGACTGTGAGCTCTTTGGGGATATCTAGCAAACATTCCTCAAACGTGAATCACAGTCTGCTACGAAAGCCTATCTATGCAATATGAGTGAGAGGAGACACGTTGCAAGGAGGCAGCAAACTCCCTGATCATTGCCGTGGTGTACTCTTGATAACTCCACTTACAGATAAACAATTATCTGAGATGCTGGTATACCTAGGCTGCAGTATACATACCAGGATATTCCTTTTGTGCAGCAGGAGATTTCAAATTCTTGCTTTTCTTCCATGTTATACAGTTATCAGCAGGCAAGCAGGAGTTGTGCAGGTGAAACTAAAGCAGAGCCTAGTGCTTAACTGTGTGGAGTTGACTGGGGGCTGGGAGTGGATTGGTTGGAATCAAAATTCTACTTGTTAAAGCAGCATCACAAAATAAGCTCTTTGCTTACAGTTCTGTAAGCAGAGCCAAGCCGACAGTCATTGTTTAAAAATAAAAAATGACTTAAAGGTTGTGACCATGAGTTCTATAGCTGATTCAGCAGGTCGTAGTTCTCAGATATGGTTTTTCTGTTGGCTTCTAACAATCTTCCCAATCTTTGAAAAAGATAAAATATAATCAGACTCTGAACTATTCCTCATGCTATGTATGTGTGTGTCTGTTGTGGGCTTGGGAGGATTAGGTTTTTGAATTGAAAAAATAAGAACCTGCTGCCCCACTCAGTAACTGGTCAGTTTGTGCACAGTACTTAAGAGCTGAATACAGTCCTTGTTGTTTGTTGGGTTGCTTGTAAAATCTTCAGCCACACTTAAGTTCCTTTCATTGGAGTAACAGTATACACAAATTTCCTACATGCAGAATGTTCCATTCCAACTAAATAACAATAACTCATTGTCTTAACTGTTCTTGAAGAACGCTGCCAAATAAAGCTTTCAGAGTTTCTGCAACGATATGATTTTAAGCTGGATGAATAAAAGCAGTTAAACCATTTTCGAGACGTTCAAACCCACTGCTATGTCAGAGTAGAGTAATTTGTGGACTTCAATTTTCCCTTTCTTTGTAGGGAAAAAATAAATAAAAATAAAACACTGCAGAAAGGCATGCATAAAATTGTGGTAGAAACTTTTTTGACTCTATGAGTCAGTCAGTATGTATGCTAAATTTGTATCAAACATCTTCCTTCTATGACAGTCTTATAAATTCTGAACTGCTGGTCCTGGAGCTGACACTTTCTGGCATTTGGCAAAACTCATTCTGTGCTTTTTCAGATACATCTAGAAAAAGAGCACAAATTAATTCTTGTGGTAACACTTGTCGCTCATTTTCATCTTGTTGGTTTGGAGGAATCTGCACAGAATCTGTAATGATAATTTCTTTGTGAAGTGAAACATAGCTGGACAATCAGAGAAGGTTAAAGGTTTAACATGCAATGTTCGCCATGCTAGCAGCTTGAATATCTCTCTAAATTTTTGAACATGGGAAGCATAGTATGATAAGAAGCAAGAATTCATCCAGCTGTTTGCAGAGTATATTCAACAGTGTTTTCAAGACGTACATGTGTGCTCTAATCTTTTATTCTTAATTGCTCTGTATGGATTAGGTTCTTCACTTCAAGATTTGCTGTCAGTTTGCCCATGTGAATGATACAGAAACAAATATGTGCATATAAAGCAGGCTCCCGCTGATGTTTGAGATGCATGCATATGTTTCAGAGGGCAGGACCTGGTTCATGCTGAAATTCTGGCTCTCCCACGACTGCAGATCTGTGCTTGAGGAGAGCAGAAATCTCTTTGTGTGAAAACATCCCAGACTTGCTCTGAAGGGAGGTGTTGATTCTCTAAAGCATGCAGATGCTGTTTTTTCAAAACACATTGATACTCGAGGAGAACTAAGTAGACTTCTTTAAGGAGCTCATGTGTAATTATTAGTTGTCTTGGTAGACTCTAGCATTTGTCTCTGGGTGAATCCAGTTTTTTATTGTGGTGGTGTACATGGATAGAGTACTAGACAGTTGGAGTTCTGGTTTTAAGGCCTAATTAGGCTGTACTGGCATAAAATGAGAAAATGAAACTGGGCTAGGAACTTTTAAATGTTGTGTGTATGTAAATGCATATGTATGGACATTTATAGGTATATGAGCATATACATGTATAGGTATCACACAGATTCCTGCTAAGCAGATGGACCAATTTAGAACTCAGTCCCTGCTGTCTTCTCTAGCTTTCCTTGTTCCTGGATGTGGTCTTTCATATCTTGTTTTATAATAGATGAACTCCTTTCCAAAAACTCCTGTTGGGAACGTTACTGCGAGAAAATGACTCAAAATCATTTATGGCTACATTTCCAGGGCTTGTGTAAAGCCATAGCGGCTCTTCTCAGTAGTGCTATGTGCTGTCAGTCCTATCCAGACTCAGTGGCATTGGCAGCTGAGCTGTACTGGGAGACTCTGTGGGCCCCTCTGTTGGGGTGCTAATTTGGAGAAGTGGTGTTAGGGAGGAGATTGTGTGGCTTAATGGGATGTGGGAGTGGAGTGGAGTTGAGGGCTGGGGTGTGAGTCATCCAAGGAGGAACTTGGGGTCTGAAATGGGGATGGAGGCTAGAGGCTTTGTGACTGACTCAGTGCTGGCTCTGAGATTTGTCTGCCTGTACTAACCATGCTGGTGCACCCACAAATGATAAAACAGGATTGCCAAACCCCATTCATTTCTTTTCATATTGTTCTCATTTCCAAAGACTGTCAAATGCATGCTTTGGGGATTAATAAAACCTACTTCATCTGCTGTTTTCCTTCCCGCAGTGTTGAGAAAGCAAAAGATATGCCTGAGGCGTGCGGCTGCTGCCACGTTATGTAGCCACAGGCTAACCAGCAGGATGAGGAGTGAATTCCAGGCCTCTCTCCTTGTTATTAGGTAGAAATTGTCTTCTTGTCAGTGCTCAGTTGTTTACAAACATCCCATTGTAGCCTTGCCCCTTGTAGCAAAAGAGTCAGGCTGGCTTGTGGATGTCTCTCCCCCTCTACACGTTTCTATGAAGTTCTGAACAAATACATGTCTCTTAGTTAATCAAATCATCCTGCTTGTAAAAACCTGCTGGCGATGGTGTGGCTAAATTTCCTTCCGAAG